TTGTTGTTCCATCTGTATTTACTGCATCGTGTACAAAATTAGTTTAAATAAATCAAACATTATAACAGTAACTATTAAATTTACGGAATAACCAGTTTTATTATAGAATAACAGCAGTAGATAGATTATATAGTACAGAAGTTTATATTTTCGTATATTTCTTTGTACATTCTATACCGAGATTGTGAACAGTTCATAAAATGTATTACATTTTCGATCCGGTTCGACTTTTGAAAAATCCGTGTTATTCTACAATATATGGTTCACTTATTCTTAATAAGGCAGTAAAAGTCTTTCTGGATATCACATCTTTAATGATAGATAAAGTCAACAGTTTTAAGTCTCTCCAGCGCTATTCAACAATATTGTGCCTAGTTAAAAGATGCGTGGTCAACTCTCAGAGTTGATATTTGTAATGATGCATTAAAGCATGTAAGAAAAAAATTACAGCGACTGTAATCTCACTAACGCAAAGTACATATTATGATGTTGTCCTAATAAACACTTAAGAATAATCTCTGCAGTATGAGAACTAAACATAAATCATAATATTCATAGTTAACACTAGCCATTTCGTCTATCGACGCGCTAAACATTTTTATTATAGATACAAATTATTTTGAAAGGATACATATTACTATGTGTGATTTACTTGATAAAGCTAGCGGCGTCTTTAGTCTGCGATATACATGCTAGAACAGTTATGAATGTTTGTGTAATCCACTAGTTTTAAGATAATGTGTTCCTTTATGTGTCCCAATATACACAGAGTTTTCATTATATACATCATACGCTTGACCGACTCCGTCGACCCTTATCATCGACATAGCAATAAATTATATGGCTGAAGATTAGCACAGGGAAAATCGCAGCAACCTGAAATTTGGCATTTCCGGGAGAAATTAGTGTATACACTCCACAGAATTCTCTATGATGTTCCAAGACCATGTTCTAACCATTTCATCTATCCTCGCGCTGAACATTTTTATTATAGATACAAATTATTTTGAAAAGATACATATTACTATTTACGTTTATACACGTTATATTGTTACATTACGTTAACACGTTATATTACGTTTATACATTACGTTTATAACATATCCACCGTTATAAACGCCGTGTGCAATCCACTAGTTTCAAGGTAATGCGTTCCTTTATACATATGTCCAAATATGTATTGTATTATCATTACAAGCATCACACACTTGACCGACTCCGTTGATCTTAGCATCGACGTAGTAGTAAATTACTACTACTAATTACTAGTACCGAAATTTAGCATTTCCGGAAGAAATTAGTGTATACACTTCACAGAATGCCTAACAAAGCTAGTAGCGTCTTTATTCCCAAATATGTCTTGCAATATGAAAATGGGAGGGTGCCTGGTGTCATTCTAAGTAATTTTTTCCTTAGCGAAAATGCAATCTGCAGCTTTGTTTACGAGTTATTGACGAAAAACACTAACCAATGAGAGGCGAGCGCGCAAATCTACAACATGGTCGATTGTTCGAGCGCAACGTGCTCCGACCGTGGAGCGTGACAGAAGGAGGGGGCCTCCGTGCCGCGTTCGAATCAATGAACAAGTCACGGAGAGTAGATTTTCAATTTTTTTTTTACCACGTGACAGTGATAATTTTAAGAAAAACGCTGATCATACTTATTTCAGAATGTCTGTAGAATATTTACTAATTTTTCGGACCCGTAATAATAAGTAGTTTAACCGTGACAGCTGTTTTAATTTTCTGAAGTGCATGATACCTCACGTGCACCATATGAAATTTTTATGCCATATATACAGTGAAGATTAACAATAAGTAACCCCGTTAAAGTACGTAAATGATATTTTAATTTAAATAATTTCGTGTCCGAATAGTATTCAACGGATGATTCGCAAAGCCAATTTAATAATAAATAATTGCGTTAAAGAATATGCAGGATATGTTTGTTTAAGGATTGTAAAAAATATCATTAGCAGTAAACTCACCCATTTAGTTTAGGACGCATTTGCTGTTCGAAATTGTGGGTCACAATGTCAGTGCATTGACGTCGTAAAATGCACTGCTGATCCTAGGACTTTCACTGAACACTGACCACTTAATCAGTTACTGATAATCCGAAACACTGATACTCCAAAATCGTAGTGGTATTCTGTGGAAAGGTTGGGGGTGTGTATTTTTATTTACTTGTTATGGTCGAATTGTTTGATTCCGCGTTAAGATGGAGTGGCCCTGAAAAGGGCCGATAAAATCACGAGCGTTACGGCATCAAAAATTGTTCGAAGTTGCTACCATTGACCTGGAGACACTAGTTAGCACGGTACGGGATTTTCTCCTATACACGCCGCAACGCGTCTACTGAAATCTTCGCAACGGCACCATGTATTCGCCCCATCAATGTCTCGACGTTGTCCACCGGTTCGGTACACCTCATTTTGGAATAATCCTTACAAAAGAAATACATAATTTGAGTACAAAAGTGCAGCATTATTGATGAAAAATATCAGCATTATTATAATTATTTTTAAATATCCCTGGAAATAAAAATTCATCAGGTTCATATCCGACTTTTGATGAAATCTCGCGACAGGTCCGAGACTGCCGATCTACCTGACTCGAAAGGTTTCACTCAAATGAGCGCGTACATATGTTACGAAAATTGTAATTGAAAAATACGTGAACTACATTTCAAAATTTTTAACAATTGAATATGTTCAAAAAATTAAAACAGGATTTTTGAACAAGTCAACGAATAACCACAATTATTAAACAATTATGTTTAATAATTTTATGTCAAATAAAAAATATTGTAGCTTAGAGTTTCAAGTCTGTCCTGAAAAAATTACTTCAAATGATATCAGGAACCCCACATTTCCCGGAAATACCATAATTTTGGGACACCCTGTATAACAATGTATTTTTAAAAGCTGATATCGCTTTTCTCTGTTGCAGTTAGATGTAGTTCACTAGCTGAATGTTCCATTACCGATTATTCTCGAATTCAGACGTGTTAGTAAAAACCGAGTATAATATATACCTTATTTCTAGTACAAGTATATTTGATATTTTTTTGGAGTCGACAAAAACAAAAAAATTTGTTTACATTTTATTTAGGCAATTATTTCTATTAATTAGAATGTTACAAAAAATTTGTTAGATACTTTGGAGAGATATTTAATCTATAATAGTTTATAGACACGGATTCCAAATGCATGATAGCAATAAAATGACTAAGGAAATTATTATGTGGTAAATAACGATGTGAATCGATTTACAATGGAAGATAAATAGAAACGAAAAGTTATTGACGTATAACATTCTATAGTAAATTTTTTGTAGTGTCTAACGTCAATAATTTTCCATTTCTATTATACATATATTGCACTATGGATCGATTCACATCGTTATTTACCACATAATAATTTCTTCAGTCATTTTATTGCTATCATGTATTTGAGATCTGGGCCTATAACTTGCCGTAGATTAAATATAATTGATGATAAATAATTAAGATTAAATATAATTAATGATAAATAACTATCTATATTTTTTAAAATACAGAAGCACCTTTAATCAATTATTTAAAACTTGATCGTTGGATCGTATCAATTCAACTTCATACTTTTACCAATCGAGCAGTGGAAATGAGAGAATTCTCTAAATCTGTGCTTAGGATCCCCGTAGCTAACGATTATACTATGGCAGTGACGGTCCCTTGACCTCAAGCTCGTGTTCGTAATGATATTTGTAATCGGGATTTAGGAAAGAATCATGAATTATTAAAAAATGACATTCGTTTTAATCATTCACATTACAGCATTACATATATGCGATATCAAAAATAATGTTAGAACAAATGAATAATTACAGATTAAAGAAAATTTTATATTTCATAATATACTTTTTACCATGATATAAGATGATTAATAACAAGTTTGGATGACATTCCTGTCTGTGATTGCATGTTCAAACTTGTTTTATATTTACACTAATACTGCGTTGATGTATCCTTAATATAATTGTTATTAAACAATGGAAGTATGCAACAAATTTTATAAACTAGTAAAGGGTTCAGTCAATTTGTTTATTAAATCAACAAATTTTTTCATATTTTTTTCAATTTTACAGGTATGAAGGATGACACACATATATCTCACAGTAGAGATTGATTATGGAAATGAAAATATGAAGATAGTTTTCAAGAATTTCAAAAGTGATTTCCAAAGAAAAAGTGATAGAAGAACTCAAAGCAAAATGGAATGGTTGAATTAAACATATTTACAAATCCTAGTCTTCAGATTGAAATCCATTAGCATTCAATGCATATAATCGAGATTAAATATTTTTTCAGTAAATGTTTCTCTGAATATCATGTAAAACGATACCGATTTTATTGATGATACCAATAAAGAGACAAAATATATCAAATTTTCTTTATTTGCGACTTACTCTCTAATTGTCTCTTTATCAATAAAAACTGCGATATAAATGTATTCCACCAATTGTATTTATAATTCCAGTTGTTGCAATATTTCATAAAGAATTGTTTTCTTATCATAGCATCCCTTCAATTCTTATTGCATGTAGGAAGCAAAATGTAAAATACGTTGTCAGAATTTTGAAACATTGATTTTTCGAATCTGCATCATTTTTTCCAGCGTTACTATTGATTCATTAAATTTATTATAAAAATTGAATATCAGATTTATTTAAAACATACAAGAAATTGTGGTAAATCGATATTACTAAAATATTCTTTAAAGAAATGAAGTAAAATGAAAAATGGATACAATGTACCTACATAGAAATGGAGCCATTACAACTTGGCCTACTGAGTATTTGCAGGGTCAAGTGCACCATAGTACCTACCTTTCAGAATGTGACTACCAACACCTACGTAGTTCTAATGACAGCGGCTATCACCTTCAGCATTTCCACTAATACAAAACTGTATTACGACGATATTAATAACTGAAATAAATAACGAGTAACTCTATCACATGTTCGACCGCACTTCAGCGAAGTAAAAGGCACGATTTCACTCTAAGATCGGTGCAACGGAATGCACTATTACGTCAATCGATTCTTGCCCCGAACTCGAGCATCAGCAACAGATGTCAATATAAAAATAAATATTGTATCTTGTTTTCATCGCATACATTTAATAAAGAAATTCATAAAAAAAATCGAACACTCAATACACAATGTAAATTTTTCAATCAAATATATTACTTATACATCATATTATAAACTAAGAAAATATTATTAAGATATAATTTTTTAATCGACCATCGACCAATGGTTGATATAACTATAGTTTTTAGGTACGGAAGCGCAATTCAAATAATGTCATTCAGAATTGATATTATTTTGATCTTTTAATGCTTGGATGGTGGTGCTCGGGTCTATTTCGACCCAGAATATAAATATTGTTATTTGACTATCTAGTTTCTGTCAATTAATTCAAATTTTCACGTGTGACATGTGATCTTTTAACACTCGGATGGTGGGGCTCGGGTCTATTTTGACCTAGAATATAAATATTGTTATTTGACTATCTAGTTTCTGTCAATTAATTGAAATTTTCACATGTTACGTTGAGGTCTGCGTAGAAACTACTATGTTTAGATAAAATATCCCCAAAAATGATGTTGGAAAACACTAAAAAATAAGATCATATGCTCAATTATATTTTTGTAAATATGGTCCGCCGTTTGAGCGTTAACATAACTTTCAATTGAACTGTGGATTAATTTTGCGAATTATAACATTCACAAGCGGTTTTATGGTATAACTATAATGTCACATTAAAAATCTTTATACAATTTAATTTTTATAAAAACAATGTTTATCGCAGTTCTGATTCTCTAATTGTATTTAATAGATTAGGACACAGATCAGCAGAAATCTGCAAGATTTTCATCTCGCTTGCAACGATTAAAAATGCCCATTTTCGTTCGTTGCGAAAGAGCTTGTTATTTCTGTTATTCTCAATAAATCATCGAACATTTTACAGACCTACTTGAAAAATCTATTCGATCTTCCTTACGGGCCGATCGATTCGCTGGGCTCTGAATGAACGCACGACGATCCCGTTATCGTTTCGTCCGAGTGGGTCACCGACACTTCGACACGAGATTGTACTCGTAGCCGCTTCGACGGCACGTATCGAACCTGTGCCACGAACAGACCATTCTTCGGGAACCTTGGTGGGGTCAAACAAAACAGGACCGTCCATATCCTTTACCAAAGCGATAGAAAGAAATTTGACCTTCTTAGAAAATACCCTTTTCTTTCTTCTCTCTCTCTCTCTCTCTCTCTCTCTCTCTCTCTCTCTGATCCTTTTTGTATAAACTCGTTACAATTTTTTTTAACAATTTAATACGAACTGGTTTGTACGAGTTCATTCTATTTCATACAAAAGTAATTAATTTCATGTCCTGGAAAAAAGAAGCGAAAAATATTTTTGGAGAATCAAAATAATTATTATCAATAATACGTTCAAGAATTTATTGAACGAATCTCATTTTGCGACTGATGTTATGTGAATATACTTAAACTAATTAGCTAAAGATTCGCATTCAAGAATTTAGTAAAAATGCCCTGACAAAGCTTTGGCTAATCATTGACACAAAATTGTATGAATTATTGTCTCAGTTTCCAATCAGTCTTAGCAACACTTCTGACGAACGCAATACACATGAGATTCAACGTTAGGTTTATAAATCCATATTTATATTTCTCAATAAAGAGTATTTCGTTTTTCAAGTATCGATTTACCGACAAACTCCAAATACTATGGAACATTCAACATTTGCTTAATTAACAATCAGATGGTGGGGCTCTCGTTCATTTGGACCCCGAGTATAAGTTTTTCAGTTTCTGAAAATTACTTTAAATTTTTGTTCCATTGAGGTCTATAAAAAGGCTAAGGAATACGTCAAGAGATACGTCGATGAAATTTGGCAAGTAAAATTATAAAGGTTCCTAAACGTACGTAGTTATGTTTTTGTCAAAAAAGGATCAGCTGTGCGACTGTGTGCAATGTACACGCGTAACAGTCGTGTATATACATGTGTATAACATAACTCATAAAACGTTTGTACACTTGCGCGAAAAGTGGGAAGAGGAGGGGCCTCCCCCCCTGAAGTCATGAAAGTGGAGCCAAGTTTCAGCCGTCCCTGGAAACCAGATGGGGTCTGAAAGTGCCCCGCGTGCTCGCCTTCGAGGAACATATATCCGTGCGGTATTAGTGTTCACGGGAACGAGTTACCTGTCGCACCTTTTTATCTCTCAATCGTCAAGCATCACGTTCACCAGTGGCTTAGCTCTCAGGTGACTTGAACGAGAGACGTACCGGATCAGTTTTCGAATTGTTCTGGCAGAGAAGCAACCGTCCATTGGAGAACCGTTCAGGATCATCGACTTTCTAAGAACTTCGGCGACAATCAAAACTGGATCGACCAGTATGAAGATCGCCACGACCTTGTTCCTTTTCGTAGTTGTCGGTATGTACGATTTGTCCTTTCTTCGAATCAAACGCAGTTTTAGCTTGGTTAGAGCTTCTACGATTAATTTTTAATCGATGGAGTCGTTGGATCTTTCCTCGATGTTCTTCCCTCTCTACAGTTTTTCTCGACTAACTTTGTCGTTCGTGTTTAATCGACTGCAGCGTTGTTTTGTCTTTTTTAACCCGAATGTAATTTACATTCGTCGTAGCGTTTGAACGAAGAGATTGTGGTATCGACAACAGTACGTTATAGACTTTTGTACAAATTAATTTACATCCGAGTGATTTTTCAATTCTGAACATTTGAAAGTACAGTTATAGATGATGAATAAAATTGATATACGAAGATCCGGTACAGTTCAGATAAGCGAGAATGATGTGCAATCGTGATGTGAAAAAAATTATGCATTGAATTAAGAAAAGAAAAGAAGGTTACTGGAAGGCAATGACTAACACGAATGACGAGTTAACTCGTTTTACCTGGTTATCAGGTTAACTAGATGAGTATTTTACTCGAAAGAATCGTAATTTAAGAGTTTAAATTGAACTGTCGTACACATCGGACCATCATGTATTTTGAAAAAAAGAAATTCTTCTAGCATCACTAATGTTATTAATTATAATGTGACTAATACTAATAAGATTTTTGTTCAATTTATTAGTATACTCTGAAAATTACGATATTCTCTTTAGATTATATGAGCACATTTGAGGGAAGATCTAACATAGACTAATCGACGTCAATTATGTTCGCGTCTAAGATGTCATCTAGCCAAATAAATTATCTTCCGGGAGCTAAGCTCGTTTTACATTCTCTAAAAGGTTGTCTCTTTTTGGCGGCATATTAGAAACGCCACGTTTCGTAATGATTTTCCGAAGAAGCGTGAAAGTGTAAGCATTACATTGTCACGTAATTGTCGCGAGATATTAGGATCTCGGTAAATGATTTTTTGACGTATCGAGGACTTCGTTTATTTTGTAAACAGTAAAACTAGAAGCTGCGTTATCAATTGTTCGGCTAGTGCTTCGATACGCAGTTACAACTTCGAATGTATCTATATTTACAATCCTTCGTTCTCTTTCTATACGAATATCGAAGCGTTGGTAACAACAAACTTTTGAAAATCTCTACTTAAGATTTTGTCACATGAACTATTTAATCCTAAAACAAATTCTAATTTCGCATCTTATTGCGCTTTGTGAATAGACTGCGAATCTTGTATCCTATCCTATAATCAATAATTGCAACGTTGATTTACGTTATATTTTTGTTTTATTTTCAACATAAAAAAAAATTTCAACCAATTTTTCTGGTTAATTGCTTTTAAAAATGCACATTCGCAGTTCACTCGAAAAATTTGACAAAATCTTTGGCACTGATTTGCATACATTTTCACTGGTGTTCGTATAAGTATTCTAGAAAACATTTAGTCACGGTTTCCTAATATATTGTTTATCGCTTTCTCGTATTACTTGTTTATTTGGAATTTACTTTCGAAGCGTGTATCTACATTTCCTGGGTTACTTTTCGGGCCTTTTCCATAATTTATGCCTTGTATTAAAGCATATTATTTTATACTCTGTGCTATCGAGCCCTGACTCATCTCGACTGACTGTGCACTGTCCACTAGATCTTATCACCTAAACTTCCTCACTTCTCGATCTCATTGCTATACAATATAACACACGTGATCTACAAATAATGTTCGTCTCTCTTTCTTACGATACTAATGGCGTAGTCCTTCTTCAGAGCGGTAGCTACGGCTTTCACACTTGAATGCAGATCTCTTTGTAAATACGATCTTGCATACGAAATATTGTAAAATGAGGTTACTTCTTGATCTCGTGAGCTTAATTCCGTGCACTTTCCCAGGACTGCGAAGATAATCTACAATAATTTCACGGTTTTCTTCGCGACGACATAACCGTGACTTGTCGTTCGTCATATCGCGATGTAATATTTTGATGGAACACGAAATATTATATGAATTGTACTTTGTTTCATTCGTTTTTTATCTCATGTTTGAATGGTTCTAAAAATTCATTAAGAATGTTGGACTATTATTTATTTATTATTATTATTTTGTATTAATAATTATTGTTATTATTATTCACGTCATTCGAATACTGTTTTAATGTATCTGTTCCATAAGAACACTTTTTGAGAAGATTCATTAAAAATTCTGTAAGTACAAATGTCTTCTTAAACCAAGCACAGGTTTTTGTCATTCAAATTAATCGTTTCGAAGATCATATTCACCTTTTCGCAAATCGAATTAGCCGTTTTGCAGGTCTTATTCACTTTTTTACAAATAAAATTCGCATAATTTTCAATTTGTAAGTACTGGCAATAAAATTCATATTAAGTTTGAAAATTGAATGACATTTCAAAAATTATTATTGAAGATTAGCAATTTGTAATGAAAGTATTATTTTATAAACAAGTATATAAATTTTCGTTAAATTTAAAAATGGAATAAAAGGTAATCAATTTTGGTCTGTGAAAGAGTTAATTTTATTTGCAAGATGGTGTATATGATTTACAAAAGGCCTAATTTCGAGTGTAAAATCTGTATATAAGTTCGAGCAAGATTATTTTAGAAAACGATAGATAACTATTTATTTCGATATCTGATCTAAACCATAGATGCGACGATAAAGTGCATAATAAATTGCAAATCCATGCGACAAAGTTGAAGATGTACATAAGAATGTAAATAGGTGACTGAACAACAGGTATTGCAACATGTATAACAGTGTGTAATATTATGAATTCATATATTATGAATTACTTGTAGATGCCAGAATCTCCATTTTGTATCGAATCAGTCAGATTCAACTGAGCCGCGCATGCTCGACTAATTTGGATGCTATTATAAACGAGCCGCTGACCAGACGGTGTTACTTTCAGTACGAATAAAAGTTTGACTTTTTCTTTCTACGCTGAATCTCATCTCCGGCGTTTACGTTTCTCTCATAATGACCATTTCCCATAAATATCGCCGATTGTGACCACGCAGATAACGATATGGTGTGCAACAGCAATCGGACGATCGGCGAATTCTGTCCCGACGAGGATAAACAGAGCGATCGTTGTACGATAAAGAGTAACAGTAACGTCGATCGTACGCATCGGTGCAATCTAGAAAGTGCAAAAGTATCAGGTTTCATTGCTGAAAATGTTCGGATCGTGAAAACAGAAAGAAATGGAACAAGCTGCCAACGAAAGTAAGCAATTGCAGTTATGATTCCTCAATTGCCGGTACGATCAGTAAAAGGGGGATCGAGATCGATGGTAATTACATATTTTCGAGATTTGAGGCAACGCTCGTGTAACAGGCTATGATGGAATATAGGCCAGAGGAACGAGGTGTCCCGCGACTGGGTGACTTCTAGTCTGATTACGCCGTTTTTCGTTTGACCGGATGTAATAGATTCGTTATTATGCTGTCAAATTGATCGTAACACTTTCTCTGTATTTAACGAAACAATAACTTTCACCTATTAATTGCCTGAGCTGTCGCAAAAGCGCGATACTTTAAACGAACGATATCGCGTGCAGCTAGGAGTTGTTTGAAAAATCGACTTAATTATAGAAAATGAATCGTATTTTCGAGAGGACACGTTTGGGTAACTAGTAATTATTTAGAGTATGTAATTCGTTTGGTAATGTCACAGAAAATTAATTAAAGTGTTAAAGATTTTCTGAATTTGAACGGGACGGTACTACATGTGTAGTGATGATGATACTGATAATGATTAATACTCATGTTACACGATACTATTTCTTCATTTTTTTGCTATGTACGTATAAGGTGCGTACTTTAGGTATCGTGTCGCTTATTGTGCAAAACGATTTGCCATTTCTTACAGATTGAAAGTACGCAAATAATTTTTTTCTAATAATAACATTTATTGATACAATATATTTTAGATAATATGGAAAACCAAAGAGTACTTTTAAATTTTATCAAGGAGTGATTCCGAACACAAGAAGAATTATTAAAAATACAATAAGAGAGAGTTTGAACAGTGAATTCCAAACAAGACTAAAAGAATAATGGGATTCTAATTATTTGGAATATTTGACAACATTATTTATAATATGCTCAGACGGCTAAACGAACCGGTTATGGGACAAACTATTACGATTGAAATTTGTCATAAATCGCGTATAAAATATTTATTTTTCTCAAAATGTCGGATTATTAGTGGGGCATAAAAATGTAACGACTTTTAATTTAAAACGTATTGTATTAATAAATGTTATTGTTATTGTTGTCGTATTTTCAAACGGTAAGAAATGGTGAATCGTTTTGCACAATCAGTGACAAGATACTCTGAGTCACGCACTTTATATAAAGCAGAAGATAAAGAAATAGTATTGTGTCCAAATATTAATAGGAGTAACTGTACGTCCGTCCATAAATAATTGAATTATTTTCTAATTAAATATTTATTGTTTCAAGAACGAGGACATATACTTTTTTAGAACAATTCTGAGTACTTGTCAACTTGGAAGAAAGGTGAGAACGGTATGGTAATATCTTTTGTTTCAGAAGTTGACCCTCCCAACCTGAATACATTTCTCAGAGCTGATTTATTTGCCATCTCGTAAAAATGTTTTCTTTTACGACAAAGAAAGCTGCAATCGCAGACTTCAAACTCTTGGGTACCATTTGTATACCATACATATCTCTACAGAGGTCGTGCGGACATTGGTCGGGCTTGTGTTTTTGCAACAATATGCTTGTCATTGTCTTCTCGATTGACTTGTACATTACCGCTCGAACGGCAAACCTTTTTAACAAAAACATTACTGAGTATACTTAGGATCATTTTATGATTATTTTCATTAGGATCGATTTTGTTTATCAATGTTATTACAGATATTTTTCTAAGGAACACCTTCTAGACACGTAATGCTATTTAATGTAATGTAATTTGAGAATTTTTATTATAAATTTTATTTTCATGAAGAAATATTAAAACTATGTA